TCCGAGATTTATACGCGTTCAAGTTCTTTCGTTCTTGTTTAGTCGTGATCTTTGCACTGAGAAAATATGCTAGTGGTTTTGAACACAATCTGGAGCTTCAAACCGCATGCTCCCCTTTACTGGATTAGACCCTGATGTGTGTTATTACGAATGAAACAAAGCTTGACTACATTTTTGGATGCCTACGCACTCTCACACAGTAGTATGTGTTGCGTACTTTCTCGAATTAGAAGCGCAATGAGGCGATATCGTAGGGACGCAAGGAGCTGTTTGAGAATGTGATTTGGATTAGTTTATACTTTACACCAAGCGGTCGTTCAAACGAAATGCAGACTTCGTACCATTATTGCCACTTTTACTACTTGCGCGAACTGCAACCACGTTCGACTTTTGAGTGTTCTTCTCCTTTTTTCGCTGCTTTTTCCAGCACGAACCAGCGTATTGGACATCAGCCCACGCCATCACCTGTATCACCTGTCGTCCCGTTGATCATCGATTTGCTCGAGCGGGCGCCAGCAACGTCTCCATTCGTCCCTGTCGCGTGCTAGAGTGGTCCAGTGGATCCTCCTCGCTCGAGGGACACGCAGTCTTTCACTCCTTTCGTTCAGGAGTGCATGACGACTAAATCGCGACGTTGACGAAGTCGCCGCGCCAGTCGCTGCAACCCGCGACGTCTCGCTGGCTGCTGCTGGCCACGCGCGAAGTCTCGCGGCTGCGGCTGCGATTTCATTACTTGCCAAAGCATAGAAAATGTGAGCCGATGAATTTCAACCATGGAGATATGAATACACTTCCCCTTTGAGGCCTATAAACCGCTCAGTTTGTCGTAGTTTACGACTTCAGTGCTCTAGTAGTGCTTTATCGATATATCTCTGTTGCTACATACTATTCTGATAAAAACAGAACACATAGATACCTTATGACCTTCAGGCCTTTCAATGAAAACAGCGACTCCATCCTCGAACGAACACGCGTCTCAGTGCTAGTACATGGGCTTTGGTGCCGTGATTCATACCATCCGCCATGTCGCGCCACTCAGTTCCTTGCAGGGTGAATATCGCTTGAGGATTCCTCAACGGCACGTCGAGGATTCTCTGCCCGATCAGAGACGATCTCTCGCGCGGACATTCACACTCGCCATGCCGTGCCGTCTGTGCTCTCCGCGCGGATGTTCACTCTCGGCACTACTCTCGCATGGTAGAGAGCTATGGTCGAGGATTTCCTCGACCGTTATTCACCCTGGCCTTGCCCACAAGAGTCAACCCTGCGTTGCGCAGTTCGCAACGGCACGTCGAGAGATCCTCAACGCACGCTGTGTGGGCGGAGACACAGACGCTCGGCGGGGGGGGGGGGGGGGTGCGTGTGTGATGTTCGCGGCGACGAGAACGTGCTAAATGGCGAAAACGCGCCGACGCCGGCGTTGCAACACCGCGCAAACTAGGGTTTGACGCTTCGCGCACTGACGGCTAGAAGATCTTGCAGCGGGGAACCAAGCGGGGCAGAGAAGGGACCCTCAGTGAAAGAGATCCGTGAGTCCAAGCCATAACGGTTGGTAAAGTGTGGTTAGTAGAACGATGGATGTGACTAAGAATAGTCCAACTGAGTGGCTTACTGAATCGTTTTGAAGCACAGTAGTTTGTGTAGGCCAAGTTGATGGCATTTCTGGAAGGGGAATGAGCTTCGGTCAAAGGTTCGTAGGTGAACACTTTAGGTGATGAGATGGGTTCCCTCACTTCCTTCACGCCGCGCCCCAAAGTGTGAAGAATGTGGGGGAGCCGATGAGATGACTACTATTTTCGCAGACGACCAGGCATTTTATTTCACTACCAGTGACCACTAAAGGGTTGAATGAGGATGCTAACTTAGTTGAGCGGCAGTCCTCGCCGCGGCGCGCGGCATGTTTGCGCGCTTTAGGCCGATGTCAGCCTTCGCGAACCCAGCAGGATTCGCAAGTAGCGGCCCATCATATCGTGGCAAAAGTTGTGTGAGAGCACAGTAGTCATGAGTCGCTGTTTAGGCAAGGGAGCGTAGGCGAAACCATCGAATCGACCTAGTTCAGCGGGTCGACCGTAAACGGTGAAAAGCTGTAATGTGCCCCCCCCCCCTACTTCCTTCGCAGCGCGAAACGCGAAAAAGTCACTTTCTGCCTTAGTGAATCGCTCCCTTTAAAACACAGGCTCATTAGCTCAACTAGTACGCGTGCTGTCTTTCTCGTCAATTTTCCAATCCGCATCTGGTCTTATCTTTAATGAAATGCAGTAGTTGGCTTCTTCTTAATGTTATTCATTTGAGGTAATGACACGTTGCTTGGTGTGCTCCAAAACTCGTGGAGGTCAATCATTCCGTACATTTTCATATGGCAGAGGTTCGCAGACTGTGTTCCTCTCATGTCTGGTACGGTACAACTTCATTGGTTTGGACAAGGCTGCTTCTATATATAGATCTATGCGAACTACGCGTTGGCGTATCTGCAAAGACCATTACATACAGACGGTAAGACCTTTCACTTTTCGTTCTTTTTGTGATTTTTGGCAGTTCATAGTACGTGGAAGTCGAAGTTCTTTATTAGGTGACGGCTACCATTTTGAAATTCTGAAAACGGATATACTTAGAGTATTGCTTTGGGTCCTTCCAATGACCACGACCTTTTTCACGAAGCATTCTGTTTTGCATGAGCAAAGAAATGTTTCTGTCACAAGTCGAGCTTCTTTCGTCGTACCTAAACACTGTTTCTTAAACCTACACCCTGAAAAAACTCAGTCCGAGTTTAATGGCAGGCTGCCCGCTTTTTGAAGCTCGTTCGTTGTGGGGCCGTGCTCATCCTCCCTTCAACATCACTTGATTCTGTCGCTTCCTCTGGCGTTGTCAGATGGGTTAGCTTCAAGTTCGGTTGCGAGTGAATTCAGCGAAAATATAGAGGAAGGCGAAAGACAAATGCTTATACGTATAGCCACATGAATTTTCTGCACAGAATAAAAATAGAAAGTTTCAGCAGTTAGTTGTCGTAACTTTTCAACGTATTTTCTGCGTCAGCTGGGAATCTCTCACAATCTCAACGTTTAGTAGAAATCGTAAGCTCTGGGCCGTATGCTATGCTTCCCCGAAGCTAGTGATCCAAAGTTTCCTTTAAATTTATTTGTTTTGAACGATATAGTTTCTTCATTTTCAGTGCATGTTTACTTTAACCTACATACATACATTAAATGTAGGCCCTTTATCAGGGCAATCCCAGTTGGGAAGACAGAGAAAATTTAAAGGGATTTTCGTCCCTCAACCCCTTCGGGGAGCATAGCATACGGCCCCTGCTCTCCGAACAAGTACAAAAAAGACATTATGACAGGATAGCAAGCGCTTAGCATCGAGATAAGCTTCATAACCTATTCATACGGAATCGCTGTTGCATTAAAAGCGTGTTGGTTCTGTCCAAAGAGGTGCAGCCCTTACGGAGGTAAATACTATTGGCTCTGTGGTTTGGTTGACGGTTTGTTTCTCATGACACTACCATCTGGGCAAGCTGATTGTGAAAGTTTGCTCCGTTGTAGTTCGTCCCTCGGCGAACCGAATCTCTACGTAAAACAAAGCAACCTTTTAGAACAAGCTTTCTTGTTCTAAATAGAAGACGATCGGTAAGACCGCCAGTCACACTTGCTGGACAAGCGATGGTCCGTCGCCGAGTGTGACGGCGGTTTAACGTCGCACAGCATTCGATGCGTATCGATCGTCAGACTTGCCTGAGTATTCGACGTTACATCACGTATCGTTACGCTATGCATGCGCCCTACCCGCGACTACACTGTTTGAAAGTGGCGGGATCGCCTTTTTTGCCAGCTCTCATGGCATCTCATTCTATCATGCCTCGTGAGCCCGGGAAAGTGGCGAGAGCCAACGTTCAAAGGAAGTCCCGCCACTTTCAAACAGTGTCGAGTCGCTAATCCATCGTTTGATCCGCTGTACCATTCGATCCGCTGGTAAATAGCTTGATTTGCTGGTGCATTACTCGTATGCAGCGGGTGTGGTTCACTAGGACAGAAAGCGACTTTTTCGCATTTCGCAGCGCGAAACATTTTCCGCTGCGGGAACCTCAGGTCCACCGCTGATCATCAGTGGACCCGAGGTTCCCGCAGCGAATCATCAGTGGACCCGAGATTCCCGCAACGAACAATGTTTCGCGCTGCGAACGCGAAAAATTCGCTTTCTGTCCTAGTGAACCACACCCGTGTCCAGCGATTCGCTAGCGAAGCTGGATTCGCGATCTCATATCGGCCATAAACGAAGTTTGTTGTTCATTCCTTGTTGATGCCGCGATTGGGCCTACTAAAATCCCCTTTGATTTTGGTTCATCCAAAAGTAAGCTTCGAGCTGTTCGCACATTTATTCATTACGCAATATGTGCGTCACAGGGAGAAAGCTAACTTCAACAGCTTCAAATTGAACGAGGCTCAACGCGTTACGTTCAACTGTCTTTAATTGCTTGGTTGGACCTTTCACATAACAGTAACTTGACTACTCATACGACTTTGGCTTATTGTTAAGACTGACCGGGTCAGAAACAATCCTTCCATGTCTCCATACTCATGCTGCAGCCGAAGAAGTGCCGAACCAAATGATGTTGAAGAGAGAATGCAGCATGCTCTCACAACGAACTAGGCTCAAAGTGGGCAGAAACTCGGACTGCATTTTTTCAGGGTGTAGGTTTAGACAATAGTCAGAAAAATAAGCACGGTTGCGGGGAGTGGTGGCTGCTGGGGCCCTATGCACAGTCCAGCCGATAGGGATTACTGCATGCGGTCACTGTTATTCTGAGTGATCACTACCTGAACAGCAACGTCAGCATTTTTATAATTAGGACGGGGTCCAGCTGCGGCATATTCTTATGTATGATTTCACTTGAGTATCTTTTGATTCAGGCCTGTTTTCTCGGCCTAGAAATCGAACACCAACTGGGTCGTTTTCCATTCAATGGAATCTCTGACACCCCGAGCAGTGTTTTGAAGGAGTTCATGACTCACTTGCGTATGTACAGCAATCTCATAGATGTAAGTACCATACTTTTCCAAAGTGAAATTTAACGATTTTCAGGAGTTCTCGACACAGAATGCAGACGGTGTATTATTTTGTTTTGTCTTTAGGATAGATTGTCCATAAAAGAAGAAGACGTGGTGATACTATTCAATGAAAGCATGGAAAAGTACTTCAAAGAAATAGTGCGGGAACTTTCAGATGTCGATGAAAGGCAAGCAGCGGAATGTTCTGAAGTGAGTTGTGATTCTACTGTTATCTTTAGAATAGATAGTCTTTCACTGGAAGACAGATTTCCAGTGCCCTTGTTGCGCTTTTTGGCATTTCTCGAATAACGGTCCCAGATTCTTCATAGTAGTCCGCGCTGGTGGTGGTGGTTGCTGCTGATTTAAGATAGGCGTGCTGATAATCTCCTAGGTATCCTCTCCTTCGACGTCGTCGAGACGCTTGGTCACACAAATGCTGAAAGGGAGGAAATCCATCTGTGCGGGGCATGTACCGTCAACTGTTCTGCAAACGAAACTGTTGCATCCGGCAAAGGCTAGACTACAGCGCAAGTTATAATCTCATCATGAATTCTGTGAATCAGTGAAATAGAAGATTTTAAAGGCGGGGAATAACCACAGGTATGGATTTAATTGTGTCTCTGTATACCGGGTTGAATAAGACGACGTTTAAGATCACGTCATTTGTACATGTCTACCCCATTGCTATGCTCACACTGAATGTTATCGAGGGTCCTGATCACGAATATGATTTTTTTGGCGCTGGGCCAAATTGGCGATGGACGATGATTCGCTGTAAACTTCTGAATAGGGGTTATTTGGGGCCCTGATCACGAATATGACACTGGTTTTTCACATTCGTGCTGTTTAACGCATATTTTCTGCTTTTCTAAGCTTTCTCACCTATAGCGCCTAGACTAAGCTTAGGGGAGGGGAGTGAAACTCCGGAGTGGGTAAACCACGCACCGTGTGGCAAAAGTTGGAGTGTGTTAGACCACAGGGGAGTGGCCTACTCACTTTGGAGCCCTCCACTATTCAAAGGCTTAGTCCTGATTGCGATCTAATTAGTGCGAGGGCGCAGACGAGCAGGAAATAGGCGCCGAATAGCGCCAACAACAAAAACGAATGTCATATTCGTAATCAGGACCCCAAATAACCCCTATACAGAAGTTTACAGCGAATTTAGTGGGAATCAGTCGTGGCGCCAAATGGCGCCAAATTGGCGCCAGCGCCAAAAATGAATATCATATTCGTGATCAGGACCCTCGATAACCCCCATAGCCGAAGTTTCAGCGAAAATTATTTTTTGACCCATCTCACCCCTACTGGGGTTGTAATAGTGCAATAGTGCCACACTTTTTCTATTCGCTCTATTACATAATCATTAACACGTTGATGACAGCGTGCAGCGCATGCGCTTCACACTCAAATGGATGATTTTCACGAGTGCGCTACTTCTTTTCTAATTTTTACTTTTACCAGTTGAGCTGCGCACGATACGAGCGCGATAGACGGCTGCTGAGAGCAGACTTATTCGTGGGATGATCTTGAGCTGAGTCTCGCAAAAATGCGGCAGTTTGCGTTCGAGCCTCCTTCTCTGTTTTGGCTAATATTGGTAGAAGTGTAGTATTCCGTTGCAGGAAGAGCTTTTTCGTCTCAAGCCATTTATTTTAAGCCTATCAAGCTTGCAAAGATTTATTTATTCTCGAATGAATAAGTAGTTTTGATAGTCCTGATGTATGTACGACAGCGCGTAGGCACTATTCGGACGGGGTTGCATATTTGAATTTGGGAGGAAAGTTTAGGATAGAGGAGCAAGGTTAAGTATGTTGGCGTTGTTGTTATGGGAATTTGCCGGGTCATTTTTTTTGAGAATTTTTCCGTTTAATAAAACATATCACCCCGCTCAAT